TTGTGCGTACTTTACTTGTTTACTTAGGCAGGTTTGACATACCCTTAAGTTAGGGCATTGTCTGATCATATGCGATAGGCAAGGGGGTCTACTAAGGGAAAGAACTGAGTGATCTAACGAACTACTTGGGCCAAGCTTATGTGGGAGTGTGAGAGATGTTTGCTCATGCATGCTTGTGGGCTCTCACCTTGGGGTATCTTTTTGATAGGTTAGCTGTTTAGATGCTCGCCAAGTGCTGGAGCCATAGGTAGGTGAGATGGATAATGGGAGGGAAGCTTGGGATAAAGGTAGGATTACCGCTGCTAGGAGTTAGGATCAGGGCTAGCTCACAATCGCACCTAGAGGTCGTGCGGGCTATCATTGATTCTGAATCATCAAGCAGGTGTCAGAAGATAGTCCCAAGTATAGCTTGCTTTGTCTTTCTGTCTTTTAGCTTTGTATAAATCTTGATAGCCTCCTGTTCCTACGGGAAGCGGTGCCGAAATTTCTGCAAATATGAAAGAATTAGTCATTTTTGGGCTCGTAAAAATTATGAAAAGGCACTTTTCCTATTGGAAGCGCTGCCGAAATTTCGTAGAATTTGAGGAGTTAGAATATTTTTCAGCTAGGAGCTACTTGGCAGATCCATCTTGAATAGAGGAGAACCTCAGCGACCTGGTATTAGTAGGGAGGACTGACAATGAGATCAGTAGAGGAGCTAGGTTACGACTTGGGAAGTATTCTCCTTTTGGCATGAACATAGTAGTGGTTCTTTTGGCCTGTACTGTGATGCAGGTTTTCGTATTTCGCTTGAAGGCTTGATCTGATCAGCCTGATCCTTCAAAAGGATCACTCTTCTGTTATCACTGATAACAGGTCGGTTGCCGATTCGTCGGTTTACGACTCAACTTTCCTATTTCTCCTGCCTCTCAACCTAAGGCCTTGTCCCTTGCCGCGATTTATGTGTTTCTTTGGGTTTTCACCCAGTTCCTTTATAAATGGCCATTTCCTAAAGACTGAGTATTTTTGTTGAGGATTGGTGGGAAAATGATTGGGCTTGTGTGCATAAGGCAAGGTGTGAGCTGCAGAAGGGTGAAAAGTTGACCCCTTTTAGCGTGTGTGATGTTGTTTGAATGTTGTGCGTATGATTGCAGGTATGAAAGAGTCTCGATTGAGTCATGTTGAATGATTATGTTTTGGATTCAGATGGGAAAACCACGCAACTGTCGTGAGAGTGAACTACCCCACAACCTTTTGTTTGAGTGAGATTGTTTTTTCCCCATCCTGATAATGTGATAGTCAGAGTAGGCGTACGCTCGGGTAACCCTCACAGGGCTGTCCCGCGGAAACAGAAGCGCCGCTAGGATGAGGGGGGCTATCCCTCAGCAACTTGATCCGGCGGGGTGCTCATGTTTCTCTGGTTAACGTCAAATAACCTTTTTTCTTTTTTCCTTGTTTTAATTTGTTTTGGTGGAACGATAGAGTTTCGGGAGGAAGGGCTAGCGTGTCGCTGGTGGTGCACCAAACAACTCACCACCGCTCCGAATTCCTTCCTGCCCTAGGGACCATCTTACCCCGCACCCTTTGGGGCACCTCAGGGTGCAGAAGATGGTAAGACCCTCAGGCCGGTTTTGCGCTCGCTAAAGGGTTGCTCCCCTTAGCGCGCACTTCAGCCGACGCCTGAGCGTCGAGAGCAACCCCATGGCTCATTTGAGGCCACCCGGGTATTGGCACGACATAATGCACCGACGTCACGACTGCCTACGCGAGTCTGCATTGTTGGTCAGAATGCGTAGGTCCTGCGTCCGCGCGGTTTTATGTTAACCCACGCACGCAGCACTTACCGATTTCCGCACCTAAAAGTTATGGGTCAAGCGGAAAGGACAAAAGCACGAGTTTCGGTAGCGCGGAACGACGCGTGGGCGAGGTATTGGTCCTAGTCGGACTATGGGGATCTGCGTACGAGCCTCCAACGTCTCGAACATCGGGTTGCCTATAGGTCTGATTCTGGGCACCACCCGCACGCATCTTTCGTGTCGGTCGGCCATTTGATAAGGCCTACCAGACTATACAAGGGAGAATATGGGCTAGGCAGGGAGAGAAAAAGGGGGTGAGCCTCTTTCTCTATCCGCGGTCGCTTCCTCCTTTGAGTTTCCATGGCTGGACGTTGTAGTTAGTGGCAGCCGTCAAAGTCAAACCCAAAGTTGTCTACTCAACCCCCTCTGCACAGGGTGCAGAAGAGGGTGTGGTCTTCAACCGCGCATGGCGGTTGTCTAGCCCCGAGAGGGTAACTCCTCAAAGCGCTGGTCAGCCGACACTTGAGTGTCGAACACGACCCTCGAGATTGTCAAGGGTCGCGCGGTTGCGAGTACTATGTAGTACCCCATCAGCGCGAATGCTTGTGTATGCCCGCATGGCTGGTCGATATGAGGAGGTAGTACGCTCGCTCGACTCTTATGCGACAATCCAGCGCGCGATACGTATCTAATTCTCGTTGCATAACATTATGGGTTGGATACTAAAGGGACTAGGAGTGTTGTTTGTGATATTTGTTTTGTGTTTTTTTTTATGTGGTGTGTAGATGTGAGTGTGTGGTGTAACGCGTGGTGTGTGTGATGCGTCCTAGTCGACCGGCGCAGAGTCGCGTCTGGGACCTCAGCCCCCCAGTGTGTCGATTCGCGTGCGGGTTCGATTTTTGGCGTTCGACCGCGCGCAACCCCTATGCTACAGCGAACGAGAAACGCCCTCGGCTGGGCCACCTCTGCAATTGCATACGAAAAGCCTTCGCATGTGGTTCATTAGCTCGACGGGGATACGCCCACCTAAGGGATGGTGACAGCTCCCGCAGGTGGAGGTAAGCGGTGCCTCGCGTGACCCTGTCCTGTCGTAGGGGCTCGCGAGAGGTACGGCTGGCACACTCGGCCGGAGCGGCAAACGCTCTCCGCGACATGTCCTGCAAAATCCTGCGTGACGCGGCCGGGAGGGTCCCCGTGCAGGACCGATGCGCTCGACAACGGGATGCCCATGTATGTGTGCATGGTATGGATTGTCCTGCTGGGGTTACTTTGGGTTTCTTTTCCTACTCCTCTGTAGTCTTGATTGTGTGATTGAATGTGTGTGATCTACCTACTCACCTGATGGATGGAGAAATGAAGTATCTTGATTTGAATGCCGATTCTTTCTACAGTGCTTTGTCTTTCCATCTCTGAACGGTTGTAGTCTATAGGTTGTGCCAAAAGTTGAAATTTCGTTTTTCGGCGCGGTAGAAACTGAACTGAGTCCATGTGGGACTCCTCTTGGTTGGGACCTGGTCGCGGCCCACGTGGGACCTCTGGGACCCAGTGGGACCAGGCCCAAACAAGAAGAGTCCTTTGGACCCAAATCTGTTAGGCATTAGTCCATTGTCTTCCTGACTGAGATATGGAGTTTATTCTTCTTGGATTAGGACACCAACTGCCGAGGGGATCTCGGCTGAGACGTTTCGCATGCTTTTGGTTGCACCGTCCGTGGCTTGACTCACACCCTGTACACCACTCACTTCTCCATTGTTGCATTTAGTTACTCGTTGTCTGATTTGCCGCACAGTCACGGAGCTGGTCAGATTGAACTCGAGAGGACCTCGTATGCAGTCTGATCAGACTGGGCGTGGTACCTTTGACACTTGACTTAGACTTTTGACTTTCCAGGGCAGTGCGTGGTCACACTGCCTGGCACAGGCCGAGTTCGGCCTGTGTTATCTGGGCTCAGTTCGAGGCCCAGACTTGCTGCAGAACACGGGTTACTGCAGAGCCTAGAAGGCTCACAAAATATTTCTGATTCTGACAAGCAGGGCGGATGTAACCAACTGGCGCGTGGTAACTGTTTGGCGCTCACCAGTGCTTTGCAAAATTAAACAAATTCATGCGTCCTTGAGATTCGGAGGCCGCCTTCACTTAGGGCGGCCCAGTTGTTTGCAGTGGGGCCCTACGCTGGCATGCCGAGGTCTAATGTCCTCGCAAAAAATAAATTAAAAAAAATCAAAATAAACTTAAAAATGGGCCATCCCTGTAAGACCCCTTAGAACCCATCCAACTGCTATTAGACCCTCCATACTCCCTATGGTGAGACCACCAAATCCAAAGGTAAGGCAGGATTTGGTCACATCTCAGTGGAGCTAGATATGCCCGTCGAACTGTTTTTGGAGGGGGGAAAAAAAGAAAATTGAATGCACTTCTTTACTAGCCCAGGTATGCTGGGCAGGTAGGCCAAATGTCCAGTCTGGATCCAATGTCGTCAAGTCTCAAGTCACAACTCTTTCTCTCTTTGTCGTAGTCTGAGAAGTCAGGTGGCGAGAGGGTGAGAAGAGATGGTGGACTTAGAAGAGGAAGGAGAAGAACTCTCTCTCTCTCTCTGTGTCCAGTACTAACCTGTGAAGTTGGCGCCTTGATGCAGGTACCTCGAAGATGGAGCTGGAGCTATGGCGCCACAGGTAAGTACCGCTGGCCTCCGCCAGCCATCTCCCCCAACTCTACGATCTACCACCTAATAGCGCCCAACGTTGAAGACTACCACTATGGCTATGGGCACCCAGCTCCGAAGACTACAGATAGCGCTAATACTACTGCCTAGCGCCGAAGACTACTGCAGCGCTCCTCCTGAGCGCTGCGGCCGAATCCTGAAGACTACTGACCACTACCTACCTGGGAAGTGCATGGGAACTGCCTATGTACTACTGGGTGCCTCCTGACTGCAGGCGAGCAGTCCAGGAGGCTGCTCTTGCCAATGCCGATCGGAGGCAGGGGCTGCCGCTGCAACTCCTGCTCAAGCTCGTGAGGAACAGGCTATTTTTGGCCTGTTCCGCATCCCTGTTTACGTGCCTGAGTCTTAGGGGCGGTCAAAACAATGAGGGTCTGTAAAAGGCCCTCCGTTTCAGGCTGGAAAGATTCTGGGTCTGAAAGACCCAGAAATAGGCTGAAACGGAGTAGGGCCTGCAGGCCCTCGATTTTCAGCTTTCAGGCTGAAACGACCGGGGCTTGTAAGCCCTAAGTTTTAGGCTTTTAGGCTGAATTACCGGGACGGGCCCTGCAGGGCCCATGTGGCTACGCAGTATGCCACACCCCCCCCTCCTTGAAGAACCGAGCTTACCTGCGAGGGCGAAGCTGTCTGTCTGAGCGAGGGACCACAGTCCGGGTGGGAGGGGCTGGTTGTGAAGCTTCCTGAGCTAACCTCCGCTTCTCATAATGCGAGTAGATCAGCGGTGCGGATGCTTTCAAACCTGCGCCTGAAATCCACCGAGTGTCGTCGCGATCGCATGCTTTGAATGTGACTGTGTACTCCACCGAAAGCGTCCGTAGTCACTCTCGTAGGCAGGGTGCGGTGGTAGATGCTAAGGACGGGTGCCATGAGCCAGCCGTGGCCGGGGCATTCGTAAGGTCAAAAGGCATAACCAGCCATTCGAAATGCCCATATCGCTTCTTAAACGCGGTCTTGTAACGGTCCTGCTTGCGAATCTCGAGTTGGTGATATCCTGACTTGAGATCGAGCTTGGAGAAGAATTTGGCGCCGCCCAGTCGCTCGAGAAGGTCGTCGATGCGTGGGAGAGGGCCGGCGTTTTTGATCGTCTGCGCGTTGAGCTTGCGATAATCGATGCACAACCGCAAATCCTTGTTCTTCTTCCGGACGAAGAGAACAGGAGCACCGTATGGCGATGAGCTAGGCCGAATCCAGCCTTTCTCCAGAAGGTCGTCGAGTTGTGCCCGAAGCACACTTAACTGTTCCTCGCTCATTCGGTAGATGCAACCGCGCGGAGGTACGGCCCCGTCCTCGAGGATGATCTTGTGGCGGATGGGTCGATCCGGTACTACTCCGTGTGGGCCTTCGAACACGTCGTTGTAGGCGTCAAGAAGCTCGGTGATGCGTGGATCCGAAGGTGAGTCCGTCAATGAAGCGTCATGGGGCGGGAGGGCGTGGAGAAAACACMCCCCCATCTCCTCGATGTCGTCTCTGATGATGGAAGCTCGCATGCTTGCGGCGGATACCACGTGGCAGCTGATCAAAGGATGAGGAAGAGGCACCGTGCATGGAACTAGCACTCCGTTCCGATCATGAATGTGAACGGTGCGGTGGAAGAAGTTCACCGCGTGATCCTCGCTTCGCAGCCATGACATGCCCAAGATCATGTCAAATTTGGTGTCCAGAATGTCAAAGGACACCGCCTCACTTGCGTGAGGGGCAAAGTACATTGGGACGTTGTCAATGCACCGGTCGATTGACTTGTGCGTGTGACCGTCCGCCAACGTGACTTGCGTAGGCTGGGACTTCCTCCGGACGCGTGGGCCAAGGCCGGCGCGCACCATGAAGTCCTGGCTGATGTTGTTGCGAGATGCTCCGCAATCGATCAAGGCATTGCAGGTCGCCCCTCCGATCTGAATGCGTACATAGAGCAATGGTGCGTCGATGTCGTCCTACCGTTGCGTTTTGAACTCGCGGTGGATCTTCGCAATGTAAGCGTGAAGGTCGACAACCTCTACTCCGGCGTCCATCAACGGAGCTGGTTCTGCAGTGTGCAAGTAATCCCGCAGTTGTGCCATGAGCACATTGCAATGCGGTTTCGGCAATCGTCCGGTCGGGGGAACATACATCCACTGGAAGTCCGTGAACGTCAGAGGGTCGAGCACTTCAAGTCTTGACCACGACGATGAATCCCCGATGACAGATGGCGGCGAAGCTGCCGAATCGGTTGCCGATGGTGATGAAACCGTGCATGCGGTAGATTGTTGCACGTGGAGCGGTTGGTCCAGCGGTGGAACCAAGTGGACAGCATAGTCCTCGTAAGTGTAATGAGAACCTGCGACATTCGCATCCTCCCCAGATGTGCAGGAGGCCGCTAGCAAGGCGGCCGAATCTGGCGGAGTAGAAGGTGGAGTCGCCTCACCTTCCGCGGAACTCAGTTTCCCGAGTTGAGGCGGGGTCGCACATCCTCCTTGCCCTGATCCTGGCACAAGGAGGTCATGTGCTTGGTGCTGTTGCACCAATTGCAGCTGCCGTAGCGGCCGTGGACCTTGTACTCCGCCTCGGTCAAGCCGAACTTGACCCATGGAACTTGTATTGACTATCCATTTCCGGCCTGCGATGCGGATTTCGCCTTCCCATTGTTGCGGGACTTGTTGTTGCTTCGCGGCTGGACAACGACCACCTGATCTCCGTCACCTGATACTGGAGTGGCTGCTGGGTTATCTCCACTGTCCGACTGGACTGCAGCGAAGTGCTGCTATCGTGGACCAGTTCGTACCTTCTCCTCATAGGTCGGCTGCCATGTTGACTTCTCGTGTGCAGCTGACCTGTTGGTCTTGATGATTTCCCTCGCCTTGTCGATGATCTCAGCGAAGGCTGAGTACTGCTCGCGATCACCAAGAGCCTGGCTCAATGCAACACAGGACCTGTTGTAGAACTCACGGCGTAAATGTGTGAATGGCAAGTCCAGATTGGGCACTGCCGCAATCTTCTGCCATTCCGTGAGCCAATCCCGTGTTGCGGTGTTGCCCTGTGACATGGTGAACAGACGGTTGATGGCGAGTGCTGGCGCGTCGTCGACGATGAACCGCTTCTTCCACAGCCGTGTCAGTTCCTCCCATGTGATCTTGTCCTTCAAGTCCGGTACGTCGACGCAGTGAGAGGTTGCCAGGTGGGTCAACCAGATCTGGCATCCGCCCTTTGAGTTCATGAACCGGGCGCCGATGTAGGCGTGCTTGGCGACGGGGAAAATCCTGAGTTGCGTTGTGAATGCTTCCCACCAAATTGGCAACCTGCGATTTTCAGAAAGAACGAAATCCAGTTTCTGAGAATATGGCAACCTCCGAATATGCCTAACGCAATATTGGTAGGCTTCGCAAGATTTCGGTTTCCAAAAAAAATTTGCAAGATAGAATGGAAATTCGATTTTCAGAAAAAAATAATTCCCGTTTTCGAGAATATGACCACTTCTATCGTTATCCCAATATGCCTAGAGAATGAAATACTAACTTCAGAAATTTCAGCTATGTATGCGAAATATCAAAGAAAACGAAAAGCTACTCTCGGGAATTTTCAGACAAAACGAAATGCGATTTATCACAAATTTTCAGATATTTGTTACGTAAAAATGAACTAATATCAGAAATTTTCAGGTAAAACGAAATGCGAATATCAGAAATTTTCAGATAGTTGTTGTGAGAAAAAAAAAAAATCAGAGATTTGACTAGGTCCTACTTGCGTTACTAATGAGTGATCACTAGATCAGCAAGCTGGCTACTTGATTGAGCGGGTCCTCTAAATGAGAGGTCCGCTCCGATACCAAACTGTTGCATACTGTAACGTGCAGACCAGAACAAGAACCGACCTCTCAATACAAAGTACAAGATAACACAGCGGAAGACTTAGATACGAATGATCCGAACAATCAATATTGCAATGCAGCTCTGAACACACATCATCATCATCGTTATCTGGTGTGAAGGGGGACTGCGCTTCACACAAGAAGACTGCGCCAGCCCCAAACATACACATACGAAGAAGGAGGGGTTAGACGAACAGGAGGGGAAGATGGGAATGTCGTCAACACCAAGTCTCGGCACAAGCCCAAATAGTCCCTTGTCGAAATGTCTGAATCCCAAATGTCCAGTCTGGATCCAATGTCGTCAAGTCTCAAGTCACAACTCTTTGTCTCTCTGTCGTAGTCTGAGAAGTCAGGTGGCGAGAGGGTGAGACGAGATGGTGGACTTAGAAGAGGAAGAAGAAGAACTCTCTCTCTCTCTCTGTGTCCAGTACTAACCTGTGAAGTTGGCGCCTTGATGCAGGTACCTCGAAGATGGAGTTGGAGCTATGGCGCCACAGGTACGTACCGCTGGCCTCAACCAGCCATCTCCCCCAACTCTACGATCTACCACCTAATAGCGCCCAACGCTGAAGACTACCACTATGGCTATGGGCGCCCAGCGCCGAAGACTACAGATAGCGCTAATACTACTGCCTAGCGTTGAAGACTACTACAGCGCTCCTCCTGAGTGCTGCGGCCGAATCCTGAAGACTACTGACCACTACCTACCTGGGAAGTGCATGGGAACTGCCTATGTACTACCGGGTGCCTCCTGACTGCAGGCGAGCAGTCCAGGAGGCTGCTCTTGCCAATGCCGATCGGAGGCAGGGGCTGCCGCTGCAGCTCCTGCTCAAGCTCGTGAGGAACAGGCTATTTCTAGCCTGTTCCGCATCCCTGTTTACGTGCCTCAGTCTTAGGGGCGGTCGAAACAATGAGGGCCTGAAAAAGGCCCTCCGTTTCAGGCTGGAAAAACTCTGGGTCTGAAAGACCGAGAAATAGGCTGAAACGGAGTAGGGCCTGCATGCCCTCGTTTTTCAGCTTTCAGGCTGAAACGACCGGGGCCTGTAAGCCCTAAGTTTTAGGCTTTTAGGGCTGAATTACCGGGACGGGCCCTGCAGGGCCCGTGTGGCTACGTAGTATGCCTCATTCAGCCTCCTCTCTCATGCATAGGCTATGGCGGACTAATGAGGGCCTTGCCCTGATGTCCAAAGGACAACCCAAAGCAGCTATGGTGCTGCGCTGATGTCCAAAGGACAACCCAAAGCAGCTATGCCGCTGCTGACTGGTCCGCCATGCCTGACGCTGCCTCGAGCTTCCTTGGTGCAGCACTACCCCAACTGGGGCCTTCCAGATGCAGCGCCCAACAAGGTGATGAAGATGGTGTCTACCATAGCCAGGTAAGTGCCTCGCCACTCTCCTCCTTCGCCCCCTTCTTCCTCCTCCTGAAGCTGGACTGCTCGCCATAGCCAGGCGGAGCTCCAGCTGCCCTTGACCTCCAAGCAGCGCTGTACCAGTCCAGCGCTGTGCTCCAGCAGCATGTCGCCAATCCTTGCATACCGCAAATGAGGAGGAGCTACTTGCTCCTCCGAAAGATATAGCGGCCTACTGGCCTCCTGGGCGGTGACTTCCTAGGCCGAGCGGCCTCCCAGCAACCGGTACCTCCTCCCTTTCGGAGGGAAACATCATTGTAGGCTCTGCTAACCTCCGGACAGGCCCTAGACCCGGGCTACTTGGACTGGTACCGGCCGACCTCTATCCTACCGCTGCCGGGCCTCTAAAAATGCCAACTTTTGTCTTCTTCTGCTCGGCCTCCTGTACCCGACACTCCTACCACTACTCGAGTGGTACCGGCCTACCTCCTACTCGTGTGTTTTTCCCCCTGCTCTAAGTTTCGCGGACCTACCCCCGCTCCTTGAGTGTCTACCCCCCTGCAACCCTCAAAGTCACGACCATAGGTAAGTACCGGCCCTGCGGGGCCTTGCAACCAACAAGTACCCTTGCGGGTCACCCACACACTCAACCGACAAGCACTCAGACAGTCATGCAAATCAGCAGGCACGCACACACACACAGACATGGAAATCACAGCAGAATGCGGGAATTTGAGCAAGGCATTCATTCCAGCGACAAATCCCAGAAATCAACACTGTTCTCAGTCTGTGTTTTGGCGGGTCATTACATTACTCCCCTCTCAAGAGTTAGGTCCCTTCGAGCGAGTAACTCATTCATAGTTGGCACAAAATGCATCGTAGGACTACATCAGAAAGAGAGACTTAGTAAGTCCATGAGGAGTCATTTTTTCAACAAACTTAGCAGTCTGTCCCTCAGCGATCTGTCGTTCATAAGCGTTCACAACACGGGGAACATTTTTTAGCAGCTCTTTTCGGTCGATCCAGAAGAATTCAGTCAACGGGTGATAGAGGAAGTGAACCTTGTACTGTCTGTTCCGATTTTGTCTATCAAATGGCCGTCGTCGATAGAGTGAGGTATCATAGGATCTCGGAAGGGATAAGTCTCATCATCAATGTGTGGGAACAGTTTGGACGCATGAAAGACTGGATACGTGCGCAGATGAGGAGGCACGTCAATTACATATGGACCAAAATCATCCCCAATCACCTTCAGAATCTGCCAAGGGCCATAGTACAATGGAAAAAGCTTTTGTGATACGCCCTCTTCATCAGAAAACTCAGACATTTTGACCCAAACATAATCCCCTACTTTGAATTTTGCTTCCTTGCGCAACTTGTTAGCATGTTTGATCATGGCATGTTGGCGCTTGTTCATGGCTGCAATAACAACTTTGAGCAAGCGTGCGTACTTGGCATTGTAGACAGGCATGCCTGGCATCAGACTAGGTGAACGTTCGGGGAACAGATAGGAGAGGGGATTACGCATCGGCCATCCATATTGCAACTGGTTTGGTGTCACACCGGTTGCAGAGTGAATGAAGTTGTTATACAGTCCCTTCACTTTGTGCAACTCCTTGTCCCACGTGTTCTGATTTGGAACAATCAATGCGCGAAGTAGTTGGATGACAGTCTGGTTGAGCTCCTCAGCCAATCCATTGGCTTCGGGGTGTCGACCAGAAGTCTTGTCCAGTTTAATGTCATAGATTTGAGAGGTGGAGTCCTTCCAATCTTTGCTAATGAATCTGGTGTCCCGATCACTCACAATAGTTTTTGGGGTGCCAAACTGCAGATGCACTACCTATTGAATTCTTATGACAAGTTCAGTTGGGGCATTGGGAGGGAAAGGAATCAAGTTCGAAAATTTGGAGAAACCGTCCACGATGACCATGACGTGTGAATTTCCCGCCGCACTTACCTTTCCCATGTCCGTGAAGTCGATGGAAATCGACTCACCGTGTCCATCTGGAATGGGGAGGGGTCTCAGCAGGCCATAAGGCTTATGCCTGTGGACCTTGGTTCTTTGACATACCTGACATTCAACAATAAATTTCTGAGCAGATCCTTTAATTCTTGGCCAATGAAACTGCTGCAAAAGACTTCCATAAGTCTTCTCAAAGCCGAAATGTCCACTACGACCATGTGCCAAATCCAAGAAATGATTCGGAGAGGCGAATGGTTGGGAACATACAAACGATCAAACTTCCCATACCGGCGGAATGCAAGACCCTCACACTCATGAAAATCAGGCTGATTGTGAGGGTCAGCCTTGAGCTGCTCAAGGATGGGACTAAGGTCCGGATCCTTGGCGGTGTGTTCGACCAGATCCTCCTTCAGTTTCCTCCGGAGGTCATACGAACCCACAAGGCAAATCAAAAACTCAGGATGGCGTGATAGAGCATCAGCAACACGGTTACAACAGCCTTTCTTGTGTTTCAACTCAAAACTATAGACATCAATGTCATGCAACCAGCGGGTCAGTGTAGGAGAGAGATCAGTTTGTGTCTGAATCCACTGCAAGGTCTGATGATCTGAGTAGACCTTGAAGTGACGACCCAAGAGGTCGTGCTTCCAATGTGCGAGTGCCTCGCGCAGGGCGTAGAGCTCACGCGTATATGTGGAAGTAGCCACCTTGTGGCTGGGCATGCGTTTGATGTAATGCTCGAGTTGACACAGGCCATCACCATCATCTTGTTGCAGCACTGCACCAATCCTAAACTAGCTCGCGTCCGTAGTGACTACGAACGTGAGGTTGGGATCCGCAATGCGGAGCACAGGATAACTTACCAATGCCTCTTTCAAGGCTTGGAACGCAGTCTCACACTTCTCACACCACGCATAGGCAACATTCTTATTGGTCAGTCTTGAGAGTGGGTGAGCAATGACGGAAAATTTGGGCACAAACTTCCGGTAATAGGAGGCCAAACCAAGAAAAGAATGCAACTCGCGTACATTCGCTGGTTGAGGCCACTTTCGGATGACCTCAACCTTGGTTGCCTCTGGCTCAAGGCTGTTTGCAGACGACCGGTGCCCAAGATAGATGACACTGTCCCTTCCAAACTCAGATTTCTCTAAGTTGTGCCTCCTTGAGGACCTGCAAAACTTCCTCAAGGTGCTTGACGTGCTCTTCCATGGACTTGCTGAAAATCAGGATGTCGTCGAGGTAAACAACAAGAAACCTGCTGAGTTGATGGCGAAGAACCTTGTCCATGAGGCACTGGAATGTGGCTGGTGCATTTGTAAGACCGAAGGGCATAACGATGAATTCGTACAACCCATCGCGTGTCTTAAATGCAGTTTTGTGCTGGTCGCTCGGATCAACTTGAATTTGGTGGTAACCAGATTTGAGGTCGATCTTGGAGAAGACCTTGCACCCACCTGCCGCATCTAGCAGATCATCTATGCGAGGCAAAGGGTAAGCATTCTTTCTGGTGATCCGATTAAGGCCACGATAGTCAATACACATCCGGAGTTTGCCTCCTTTCTTTGGCACAAACAGGACAGGTGCACCGAACTCGGACTCACTAGGCCTAATCCATCCACAGTCAATCATGTCATCAATTTGCCTTCTCAACTCCTGCAACTCACCTTGTCCCATCCGGTAGACGCAGCCCTTTGGAGTTACACTCCCTTCTATTATCTCGATCTTGTGTTTGACCGGACGCTCGGGAACTCCACGAGGTTCTGCCAGAACTTCAGGGAATCGATCTAATAGTTGGCGAATGTTTGTTGGGACTTCTGGCGGAGGATCATCCTCATGAGGAGAAAGAAAATTAGATTGAGAATTTACAGCAATTACAACCGGATTAGAAGTACTTGGATCAGAAGTAGAGGGATTATTCACAGTAGAAGTAAATGGATAAGAAGTAGAGGTGGTAGAAGTAGAGTTACTTACCGAGGTAGAAAATGCAGCAAAAGTAGAAGGCACATAGAGAGGTTTTACAAAAGCTACATGTACATGCTCAACTTTGGTGCGCGTGCGCAGTAATTTGCAGAATTTGTTTGCACTTAAAAGAGTGAGAGGGGACTCGCGTGTCTCGTCCAATAAGACGGTGCGCTCGTTCCCCTTGGCATCACACACCACGAACTGATTGTCTGCCCTTGTGGTCCTTAGGCAGTAACCAGCCCAAGCCGATGACGGCGTCGAACGGACACTTGTCCATGACATAAAAGTTGAGCTCATGTGTGACAGTGCGGTCCTTGTCAAAGGTGACGGGCACACCTCTGACAGCATGTGTGGAGGTGACAACCTCGTGGTTGCCCACCTGAGTCTGACAAGGGTTCTGCAGTTCCACTTGCTTCATTCCCATGCCCGCCTTACGAATCCCGTTAGGAGAAAAGAAGTTAGTGGTTGAACCACTATCAATCAGCACACGGACGTATCGGCGGTTAATGAGAAGTTTAAAGAAGGTTAGCTCCACACTCCCTTGAACACGGCGTTGCTGCTTGAGCTGCAGCCAATGTTCCAGGTGAGCGTGGAAGTCAACTTCCTTAGACTCCTCCCAAGGCTCAGTGTATAACACATGGACTGCAACAGCCTTGGATTCAGCATCGTTCCGAGCTTCAAGAGTAGGCTGTTGACCAGATTCAGGCTCATTGGAGGGGCCTGCAATTGATGGTTCAGCTTCCCTTGTAGAGAGTGCTGATGACTCTTCTACGCCCTTTGCCTGTTTCCCTGAAGTCTGTAACAGTCCTGCACAGCATGCCCAGGCCTTTGACAATGCAAGCATATGCGCAGTTTAGATCTTCTTTCCCATTCCTTTTGACTGATACGGAGGGCTTCCCAAGGCTTGGTAGATGCATCCTCCGGTTTCTCAGGGATCTTCGCATTCTTGGGGAGGTGTACAACAGTTCCCCTACCTGAACCACAGTTAGGCCCCTTGTTTGAAGCAGTCTTCTTAAAAACATTAAGTTTTTCATCTGTGATAACTCTCCTCACAAACTGGATAAACCCCCCAACTCTCATCTCGGGCAAAATGTTTTGTTCATTTGCAAACAGATCATAAGCCCAGAGGAACTCCTCCAAGTTGGAAGAGTTTGGAAGAGTCAAAGCGAATAGGCAGTCCATTTCTACCCATAGGTGATGGATGTAGCCCCTCCATCGTTTTCTCAAACTCGTGCCAAGTAAGCGATTCCTTGGCAAATCTGGCAATAGGCTTTGCCCACTCGTCACTGCCTTGCACCTCTGCCAACATCCTGGCCACACTCCAACCATACGCCTGAGCATGCGCCGCGAAATTGGTCAAAAACATGTCCTCTGCTGTCCCACCTGTCTAGTCGCCCTCAGAGGAGCTTCCATCGACCATGCCCCGCCCTTCCCTGTTGGCATGGCTGTCAGTGGTATCAAGCGTGCACAACAAGGAAGAGACAACATTAGAACAGGGGGTAAGTCGGTCAGACAACCACAACAAGAGACATATATAGCCCTCCCATAACCACCTAAGTATCTAACATAACTCTATCCTTATACCTTTCTCAGCCTTGTAATCTATCATATCATTCTAATTTGACAACTTAAGTTTCTTCTCTCTGCTATACTAGGGTCTTCCCTTTATACCAAAGAGCACTTGACTTGCCTATTCTATGCTCACCTCATCTCGAGCCAGCCAGATACCCAATCCTTCTATGTCGTATCATTCAGTTTCTCGATCTGGTATGCCGTATGCTCGCCACATCTCGTGATTCTGTACGGTCTCAACCATCGCTTGTCCAATTTTCTTGACCACTCCTTCTTTAGAGATGAGTCGTACAGTAACACGGTATCTCCCACCTTAAGAGGCTCCTTCCTTACTCTTGGCATCTAATCCCACCTGAACTTGTCCTTGGTTCGACTGTCAACCATTCTACTTGCCGCTTTTGAACTCTTTCCTTGTAAGACTCCAATTTGACGCACACTTAGATCAAGAAACTCCTCAGATGACAATGTCGTTTCGACGTTTACGTCAGACTCAATGGCTGATGTGGAACAACCCATATCGGAGTCCGGCTCTAGATCGTCATCTAGAGACAGATCATCTGCGTAGGACTGATCTTCAGCCTCCCGATGTTCATGCAGGGCAAGCTGGTTGCTGCTTCCATACCGCTTGCGTTGTGGTTTTCCACCTGCAGCGGGCGCCTTCTTACGCCTGGCGAGGTCCTTGGCCTCTAGGTTGACTAGGTCCGTCATGAGCTCTCGCCAGGTGGTATGGTCTTTGAGTGCTAACAGGGAGAGGTATTCTTTAGGGGCCACTCCCATGACTACATCCATGCAAGACACGTCGGTCATTCCCAGGTCTAGAGTGGTGAACAGAACAGTCAAGTGTTGTTCCAAAGCCTGCATGGAGGACCTCCATGTTTGGCCCTTGAGGGCCTCAAGCTTCAGCTTAGCCTTGAGCGCAGCGTGCTTATCTTCGTATCATGTGATGAGAAGGTCCTCAAGGGTGCGTACATAGGTTACTTTCAACCACTCAGTGCTTATCTTGGTATCGTGTGATGAGAAGGTCCTTAAGGGTGCGTACATAGGTTACTTTCAACCACTTAGTCAGGTCAATTCTTTCATAACCTGCAGCAACAGCTTGGAGTTCAATGTGGTTCCGTACGGCGGGCTCAGTATTAGTGGCCATGATCATGCTTCGGTCTTCTTGCGCTGTCCGCATGACCTCGAAGTATGAGCGCATGGAACTAATCCAAGAGGTGATATTTGCTTTCCCGTCGTACTTGGACGGCAAGGTGGCCGCCCGCTTGTCCACTACGGGACCGCTGTACTGAACGCAAGTAAGGACTGTGGCGTTTTGGGCTGATGTCCCTGCATTTGGGACTATGACTAGTGCAGAACTGCCGGCGCTGCCGCTTGAGGAGCTGGCACCAGTTCCTGCGCTTGTCACAGTTCCACTTGCTCTTGCCATGAGGACTGTTTTGGATTGAGAGACTGGGACTGCAGCAGGTCGAGGGTTAGGAGGGCGGGGGGCAGACAGTTGAGACTGTTTGAGGCTGATTATCTCAGCCTGCAGCTCTTGGTTCCGCTGCTCCAGTGCTGTGACACGGGACTCAAGGTCTTCTAAGTTCCGCAGTCGAACCAAGGCTGCCACGGCAGCAGCTAGCCTCTCCTGGAACCTGTCAGCATTGGCTTCCGGGACCTGAAGGTGGGCCACCTGAGCAGCTATGCTTGTGGCTCTGGCTGCTGCCTCTGCCTCTTTTTCCCTCTGCACGGCATCATCATAAAGCTTTTGGAAGAACGGTTTCACGTTCTCGTCTGCTGCGTCCAGCATGGCCTGCCATTGGGCAGATGTGATGTCTGCCATGCCGGAGGAATGGGTGTTAGCAGTTCTCGCAAGAGGGGTCCGCTCTCTCCTCGCGTTTGGACGAACACTCCTCTTGCCCTTCCTCACACTCTAAAAAAGAACACCACCTCTCTCCCTTCTCTCTCTCTCCGCTGTCTGCTCACACGTCTCAATACCGGACAGATAGTTCAGATGAAAGAAACAATCAGTAAATCACACAGAGTAGAAGGTAGAACTCCTAGCCGGAGCGGCGATTCATTTGGAGAATGGCACGCAGCAGAATAAAAGAATAAATAAATAAATAAGTAAAAATAAAACAGAAGAGAGGTCTGACTTATCGAACGGGCCCTGATCAGATTAGCTGGAGATCCCCTCTTGTCTAACCTGACAGGGTACATGTACCACAATAAATCAGCCGAAGAAAACTAACTGCAGCCCTGGAGATTTTGAGGGTTGCAGACGGTCGCCGAGCCAGACGCGGGGCAGTATGTGCTAACATGCAGTAAGACTAGTCAAGATCCCCTTGAAAGGAATGCCCTTGCTAGCCGTATGTCCCCCAAGTTCAGCTCAGCAAAGAGATTTGGGCCTCGTCCCATTGAGTCCCGGAGGTCCCGAGTAGGTCGTGGACCAGGACCAACGAGATAGGAGTACCAAGTCAGTCCCAAACTGCCTCTACCGTACTGAAAAGGAAAAGACAACTTTCAGCAAGAACTTACCCCTACAGCCATTCAGAAATGAAAAGACATTGCACCATAGAAAGATATGTCATTTAGAACAGATACATCATCCATCCATCCATCAGGTGAGAAAGCAATCCACATGCTCACACACACAGCCAAGACCGCAGAGAAGAGGAAGAGAGCCCAGCACACCCCCAACAGGCCATGAAGCACCAAGCAACCTCCCACGGGCTAACCAGGTCACACGGCACTTACCTGTGAGGCCCGGCCTCCAAAGATGGATAACGACTCACCCCCCTCTCTCATAAGTCCTCCTGACCCCTAGCTACCACTACACGAAGTGTCCTAGCATGACTAAGAGGGCCTTCCTACACCCCTGTTGCAACATCCCCCGCCGATGTCTGAAGACCAAAGTAGCAACTTGCAGCTCTCCGATGCAGATATGGCAGCCTCCGATCAAGTCTCCCTCTTGAGGGGAAGCCCAAAAGTCACTCAATGTCTTCTTGAAGTGCAGATCCCAGGTGCGAGTACCTCTCACTCTCTACTCCCTCTCGCTTACTCCAATCAGCCTCCTTTGTGTCTCGCCACCCCATCCATTCACTCTAACAACCTGGTCAGGTCTGATGTCGACCCTACATGACCTAACCAGGTGGGGGCAGTATCCACATACCTCACTGCCGCACTTAACCCTAACTTCCTAACCCTAATCCGAGATTAGGTTAGCCCTAACCTAACTCGAAATTAGGTTTAGGGTGACTAACACCTCTCGCCAGCAAGTAAGTCCGCTCTGATACAAATTGTTACGATCCTGGTCATTTCCAAATGCGAATTCACAATGAAAGACAATGCCACCCAATTGCGAGAGAAATGAAAGCACTTGCAAAGAGATAAAGACCAGAGGAGAGAGAAAGAAGAAGAAGAAGAAGATATGCACCAGCAAGACCAATGACAATTCCCCCTTCTCTCTCTCTACCTTCCTCCTCCTCCTTCACTTCACCAATCTTATTCTTCTCCCAATAATAATAATAACAATGAATGGATGAACCAGAATCAATATCCGAAGTTCCCTCTTACTGCTGACTCAACTCGACAACAACAACAACAACAACAACAACAAGTCCACCATAGCTATGGCTTCCCTCCTTCAGCCTCCTCTCTCATGCATAGGCTATGGCGGACTAATGAGGGCCTTGCCCTGATGTCCAAAGGACAACCCAAAGCAGCTATGGTGCTGCGCTGATGTCCAAAGGACAACCCAAAGCAGCTATGCCGCTGCTGACTGGTCCGCCATGCCTGACTCTGCCTCGAGCTTCCTTGGTGCAGCACTACCCCAACTGGGGCTTTCCAGATGCAGCGCCCAACAAGGAGATGAAGATGGTGTCTACCATAGCCAGGTAAGTGCCTCGCCACTCTCCTCCTTCGCCCCCTTCTTCCTCCTCCTCAAGCTGGACTGCTCGCCATAGCCAGGCGGAGCTCCAGCTGCCCTTCACCTCCAAGCAGCGCTGTACCAGTCCAGCGCTGTGCTCCAGCAGCATGTTGCCAATCCTTGCATACCGCAAATGAGGAGGAGCTACTTGCTCCGCCGAAAGATATAGCGGCCTACTGGCCTCCTGGGCGGTGGCTTCCTAGGCCGAGCGGCCTCCCAGCAACCGGTACCTCCTCCCTTTCGGAGGGAAACATCATTGCAGGCTCTGCTAACCTCCGGACAGGCCCTAGACCCGGGCTACTTGGACTGGTACCGGCCGACCTCTATCCTACCGCTGCCGGGCCTCTAAAAATGCCAACTTTTGTCTTCTTCTGCTCAGCCTCCAGTACCCGGCACTCCTACCACTACTCGAGTGGTACCGGCCTATCTCCTACTCGAGTGTTTTTCCCCCTGCTCTAAGTGTCGCGGGCCTACCCCCACTACTTGAGTGTCTACCCCCCGGCAACCCTCAAAGTCACGGCCACAGGTAAGTACCGGCCCTGCGGGGCCTTGCAACCAACAAGTACCCTTGCGGGTCACACACACACTCAACCGACAAGCACTCAGACAGTCATGCAAACCCGCAGGCACGCACACACACACAGACATGGAAATCAAGGCATTCATTCCAGCGGCAAATCCCAGAAATCAGCAGTGTTCTCAGTCTGTGTTTTGGCGGGTCATTACAAAGAAAAAAACCGAAAAAAGAGACTGTTATGCAGAAAAATTCAAAAATCAACTGAACAACCTTTGCCTTAGGGTCACATCCAAATTCTTTACCAATTTTTAATTATTATTATTATTTTTTAGTTTTTTTTGGCCTGGCCGGACGAGTGGTCCCGGGCCACTCTGGTAGCTCAAATACAACTGTCTTCTCCTCATATGGGGGGCAGGCTGTATTTTTAACCATATTCTCTTCTCTCAATCTTTTCTACCTCACACTAATTGCCTGCCTACCCTTATCTAGTCTGGTGGCTTCCCTTATCTTCTGTACTAGTAAGATCACAAATCCACCGTAATCTACCGATGGAGATGAAACTATTCCACGGGTTTCTCTAAGTGTTGTGGGAGGGAAGCTGAGCCTACCTATCTATAACCTACCTAGCTCTGCTCTGTGCGGGGAGCAGTACCCAAGCTGCTAACCCCTGGCATGGTGCAATCAGACTCGTTTTCAAACACACTTTTCACACATGTAAACAGTAACACAGCACACTGGCGACATGCGCCCACTCAAAACTCAGAGATATGGCTTCAGATACGAATTCACTCTCAAATGGCTATGGCGACTTCAGCGCCCAAACATCTCACTGTTCACATACACTGGATCACCCTGGATATCCCACACGCATCACTCTAACACTCAAACACAACACACACTCGCTACTAACTACAGCTATGGCAGCTATGGCTGCCTCTAACCTATCGCTATGCTAACTCCTCCTCTCTTGCCCACTGCGT